GTCTCAGGCTCAAATTATTTTTAAAACAAAAATTGAAAACCCTTTTCAAAACTTACACCTTTACCTCCACTTTCACAAATTTTAAGTGTCTTAACCCAAAACCAAGGACCAATGGCCACTAACACCAAATGACTACATACAACTCAACAAAATTAACTTACGCAAAGTACCAAAACACAAGAAATATTTTCAAATTAAATTTTTACTACTCAACCCCTTAACTCAAAATTATTGGAAGGGGGAGTTTACCACAATTTTCATTAAGATTTCCAAATCATCACATAATATTCACTACCCTCACTTACATTAGTATTTTGGCCCTATCAACATAACACATAATAATCAACTCTCTCCCTAAGGCCCAAAATACCATTACAATTTACCTTTCACTTAATGCAAGTAAGTAACAAAAAGGGAAATCCTAGTTGGCAATCGAAATTGTCATACATATAAATTACCCAAAATAAAGAGGCCTATTACAAATGGATCATGATCCTAAGCCTCGGGTTGTTTTTCTTTGTCCACACTTCTTGAGCTATTCCTTGAAATATTGAAGATAGGGGTGAGTACAACTATTCAGTAACCAAGGTCCGACTAGCCCATACTAATGCATAACAATTAGTTTAAATGCAAATGGTAGTAAATATTATTACTTAAACTCATGAGAAACATTTGAAATAAGAATTCTCAACTTAGCTCATATAATGGCATTCACTTGGAAAAATAATGCCTTTAGCATCTTTCAATAAATAAAATTGCTCACATAATTTATTGAAAAGCCTAATGGCAAAGATTATTACTCAACTCAACATATCCACACTATGGATTCAATATAGACAACAAGTGCCTTTTCTCACTATATGCATGATCACACCTCCCTTATATCCTTCTTATTCCTCTGACACGAAACTGTGGGCTATAACTCAATGGAATAGTCTATGTTTCTTGACTTCCTTAGCCTAAACACTCGTGAGGGAATTACCAGGCTAAGGTGTACCCATCTTACCTATGGATCACGGTTTCCCCTATTTATCTCACCATAGGGTGTTATACATCTTAGACTAGCTTCCTCATTGAACCGGTGGATGGCTAGCTAGGTTTGAGTCCCTCGTTGAACTAGTGGGACGATATGAATAGAATCAATTTAGGCTGTCCATCATACGGATCCCTTACCACGTGGATTTATCATCTATTCTGCTTCCTAGGTGAACTCCCGCCTCTCTAGATTATGCCATGGATATTCATGCAATAATTCACACATATACAATTCATAGAACTTCACATTATACAATCATTGGACTTCTCAACACATTTCATGGAACTTCAAAAACAAACAAGTTATTGAACTCCAAATCCATAATCATTGTACCTCACACTTTCAAAATCATTGAACTTCCCTATTCTTGTACATCATTAAACTCCTTCTAAACAAAGATTCATTTTGCTTCTCAATTTGTAGAAGTCATTGCACTCTCATTGAACAGTAATATGAAAATCCACCACTATTGTTCTTCAGGGAAATTTTGCATCATAAGGCATAAAACTCACAAATTTGATCTAGTGAATTTCTTCACAATTTAAGCCACACTTGCATTTCTTTTATTTTATACACTTCAAATGATAATTCATAAATCAATAAACCAATAGTCACACACAAGCAAAAGATAGAATTTTTTCAGTTACTTCAAACCTTTGAAAGGTCAAAGGTTTCACTTTCAACTATTCACTCCTGAAGCTTTCAAGAAGCTTGAATGCTGCTAATGGTAATTACACTACAAGCATTTACCATGCAAAACATCAATATCTATTTTGAGCTATCTTCTATTAATATTTCATCATTTTTTAAAACTCAAGCTTTACTCTAAACTCATGTAGAAGTACCCATAAGGTTTTTTAGCTTCCTTTAACCCTCATTTATAACATTAAACTCTTAAATGAGCATTAATGAAGCCGCATTATTCCCAACCACTAAATTTATGAGATTTTCAGACATTTAATGTCCTCCAACCACCAATCATCATAAAACTATAAATATCAAGTTTACTTAGCTCAATCTATCCCATTAATTCTATTTTAGTTAATGGGTTTGGACCTATAACCTCTATGGACCAAAAATTACTATTAAAATCAAACCCTAACCTCTACCATCAAGAAAATAGAAGAAAAGATGAAAATTTAAGCTACGAAGCTTACTTTTAGTGTTTATGAGATTCAAATTACTCCCAACAATTAGTTTCTTCAAGCCATAGCTCAGCTTTTTTGCCACTCTCTTGTACTCTTTTATTTCTTCTTCTTTTTCATTTCAGATTCGCGACTTAATACTGCAAAATTCTGGCCATGCGCTGCGACGGACGCACAATGTGCCATGGCGCATGGCACAGAGAGCTTCTTTCAAGCATGATGGCATGCATGTGTTGTGGCAGACCAACCACAAGCCACGGCACGTGGCACAGAATCACTCCCTTAAGAAATTCTTCCTCTTCTATCCCCAAGTGACCCGATTCTCCTTTGAACCCATGTTTAGAACTGAAATCGAGATCAAACACGCTCGTTAGGCTCTCTGGCCACATACCTCAAAGATTCACTTTACTAATCTATTCAAGCTTAATTAATCTAGGTTTAAAATTGAGGATGTTACAACTTGAACCCACACACAAGAGATGGTAATGATGGATTTGCTCCAAAGATGAAGATTGATAACAACAAAGCTTCTCAGAGACAAAAATGGGCAAAGGTTGAAGTTTTAAAGGCTAGACGAGTTCAGCAAGAGAGAACTTGAGAAGAGAGAGAAAGAGGGAAAATAGAAATGATTGTTCGAATGAGGAGCAAAATGCGGAGGAATTAAATTTAAAGAGAAACAACATCAGTTTTTTGAAAAACTAATGTTGTTTCTCTTTTCAATGTCGGTTCTATAAAAATTGACGTTGAAAATTTTCAAATTTCCCCTTTTTTATTTTTTAAGATTTTTAATGTCGGTTATTTGAATAACCGACTTGGAATATACTTTTAATGTCAGTTATTTATATAACTGATGTTAAAACTTTTTACCTTATTTACAAAATTGCCACTATCCTTTCTTTTTTTACAACCGATTTTTAATTAACCAACGTTAAAAAGCGATGTAAAAAGAGATTTTTTAGTAGTGACATGTCCCTCAATATCTCTTATTCTACCGTACTAATGGAACAAAAAAAAAAACATTGGAAATGAAAATTTTATAAGATATCTAGCTCAGGAGTTTCCTTAATTTGATTTCTTGCATCACCTTGATTCACTTGGTGGACTTCACTAACTGGATCGCCATTCAAATTATCATTCCAACCATGATGTACAAAAAGAATCAGTTCCAAGATAAAAGAGGAAGAAACAAAATATGTTGCCTGAAAGGTTCCTGACACGTAGACGTATGTTACTATGATGACATAAACGAGAATGAGAATGTTTGCAATAAAAGTTATAGCAGTCATAAGGAGACTATCAGTGCCCAAAATCAAAGTTATACTAGATATAAATGTGCTGGTCATGGTCATCATAGCAACATAAACACAAATGAAAGCAGCCATGTACATTCCTTTTGCAAAATGACGATCACTCAGCGGGACCGGTATGAGAACAACAACACAGAGTAGTGAACTATACAAAGCTACTGTGTCAAAACAAAATGAACACCTTGAACGATGTATGATTGTTTAGAAGTGCCATGCCTCTTTCTTGCGGTTTTGGGTACTCGGAAGAGTTAAACCCCCCAGGCACTGTGAAACCAGCTGCAAATGTCACTGTGGCTATCAGTATGGCCACAAGCATCAGTGTGTTGGCTGCTTCCTTAACATTCCTTTGTCTTTTCAGGGTTGCTTCCTTAACATTCCTTTCTGTATTGGTGGATGCGATCTGTCGTTCACTAAAGTCATTGGTATTTAGGGGCACACCAGCTCTTCCTAAATCTAATCTGCCAGACTTTGCATGGAAATCAAATCACACACACACACATGCTTTTATAGAACAAGAATAGAGAGAGAAAAACACACACACACCTGCTTTTATAGAACTAGAATAGAGAGAGAAAAAAAAGAATAGAGAAAGAAAGTAGAGACAAAAGAGGGTAGAGATAGAAAGAAGGTAGAGACAAGAAAAGAGAAGCAAATTAATATCAATTCTTATTCATTCAAAAAACCATACAAAGCAAAAACGTTGAGGGGATATTTATATACTTTAACCAAACTCTAGAAATAAAAGTATTATTAGCATAATATTCTACAAATCCTAATTATTAAGTGCAAATATTCTAAACTAATTTAAAAGATAACTTGGTAATCTAAAAGATTGCATTTATTCAAATCAAATATTAAAATCATTTTAATAAAATAAAAACCTCAAATTTAATTAATTCCATATCCCATCACAAAGATATATAAATATATCTCTAAAAAATTTAGAAAATAGAAGAAATAGTTGATAGATGCTTATTGAACTTATTACCTCATGATATGTCATGGGAATTTTACACTTCTTAACAATATATCGAGCTGTTAAACCTTTGTTATTCTTAAGGTTCACATTGATTTTTTTGTTTCGTGACAAATGGTATAGAGACCAAAGACACAGTTTTGCTGTAGCCAAATGCAGTGGGGTATCTCTGTAACATCCTGATTTTTATATAATAAAGAAATTGTGGAATTTAGGTTTTGAGGAAAAAATGATAATAATAGGAATTTATATTATTTGAGGTTATTTAGAAATAATATTATGATTAGGTATTTAATTATGAATTTAAAAATTTAAATTTAAAACCACATAAGCAATATTTAGTTAAGATATAATACATAAATAATTTTTTTTGTGTGTTAAAAAAAAAAGAGAAGGTAGAAGGAACAAAAAAAAGGGGGGGTGGAAGGTTGTTGTTTCTAAGTCCCACATTGGTTAGATGAGGGAAGAGAAGAGGTGCCTTCATGTATAAAAAGGAGGGGGGGTGTGCATTAGGAAGCATGAGAGGCTAAGATGCAATTTAGAGAAAATTGCAACTTTGGGCCCAAAGGTTTGAATAATTAAATTCAAACCTATAGTTTTTTTTAATATAATTTTGGGACTCACAATCCCATTTTTATATTATTTTTCTCTCTTCCTCTCACGTTGCTCGGCGTTTTCTCGCAAGGGGGGTTATTTTCTTTTTTCTTCAGGTATGTTCTAACTTTCCTGTTTAGATTAGCATTTAAAAATTTATTTAATTACAAAATTAATTTTATAGTTATTTTCTAAATAATATTAGCTTTCTAGTGATATGATTATTTTGTAGGATAGAGTAAATATTTTGATTAGGATTTTTCTATAGGATAGTTAATCTGATGATATGATGGATTAAAAATATAGGTTAAAATTCTTAGGGATATAGTAAATATTATAGAATATTTTCTTAAGGTTGAAACTCATGTTTAAGAATTTTTGAGTTAAAATCTAGATCTATATGGTTGAATTTATGTGGAATCTGAGATGTAGGGATAAATCTATGATTATTAAATATTTATTTAAGTATGAATAGGTATTTTTGAGGTTATAGAAAGGTGATTTGAGGCTTCAGGATAATTCTAAAATTTTTAATTTATTTTTGGATGAATTTTTAGAATGTAGAAGGATGAAATTGTGATACTAGAAGTGAATTGAGGATAAAAAAAAAATAGTTCATTAGGGTACGAGAATTTTAGAAAAGAATTTGGGAAGTTAAATGAGGCATAAATCTTAAATTAGTGTTAATATGGACTATAGATTTAAGACTTTCTAACTCTTTAAATTAGAGTTATTTATTTTAATGTAAAATTAATATAGTATTGTGAAATAATTATGTAGATTATATTGACAAAGATAGTGGTGAAAAAGGAGTTGTGAAGGGGAACTTGTTATTCAAGACACAAGGTAACCATTATTAATGTGTTGTGATGAGTGTGTTTGTGAATGGTTATGTGTTGTTTTGTTGTTTGGAAAAATTATGAATTATTGAAAATAAATACTGTATATACTTGTTTGAAATTATTGCCAAGTGGGTTAAAAATTTATTTTTGTTTATCATGATGAGATATTATTGTTCGGATATATTCCTGTTTGGATATTTGAATGATGCATGACTTGTCAGGGTATTTTAATGTATGGTGTTAATGGGAATTTCTGTTCGGTTAATTATTACCACGTGGTAAGCCCTCATTGGACCCAATGAGTGGCGTGTCGCTTGGTCCAACTCACCTTTGGCCGGGTGATTTGGCGTCCGAGCATGGTGAAAGGAGGATATAAGGTGCAGTCATGCAATTAAATACTTGTTCGGTTTGTTTGAAAATATTGTTCGGTTAAATGTTTTGTGTGCCCACTTAGCAATCGCATGATTAGTTACATCCGCATGCATCATTACATATTAATTTTTGGTTACTGAGACTTTTAAGTCTCATTCCCCGTGGTTAATATTTTTACAGGAGCGAATCCGGCCGAGAAAGCACCAGAGGTGTAATTATGGTGTATGAGACACCATCTTTTACGTTGCCTCTTATTTTGGATTATACAATGTATCTTGTGCCAACTTAGGACATATCTTGTCTATGGAGCATGTAAACTCTAATCCTTTTTATTAAATGCATTTATATGTCCAAGAGGATTATGTCTGTCCCTTTGATTCATGACCTAATTTAAATAACATGCTATGAGGATCATGTCTGTCCCTCATGGTTCTAATTGCTTTTTGAGATATTTTAAGACCTGTGGTATATTGTCTTGGATGTATCATGGTAGAAATTTTTCTACCATGATAAGGGTATGATAAGGGTTCAATGAAAAAAAAATGATTTCTTGAATTAATAACTTGCGAAAAATCGGTTTGTAAATTTGAGGGTGTTACATATTGGTATCAGAGCATATAGTCGGTTGGCAATATACATTGTTATGGTGCTTCTCATTGTATGGCCATGATATAGCTAGGCTAATTTTATTATTTATATCTTGTATCCTTTAGGAGGGGAGAGAAAATGCCTGTTACTCGTGGTAACTCAGGATTCCAACATGAGCACCTGCCACCGCCACTGCCAAATGAGGAGCCTGACTTGGCGGAATTAAGAATGCTTGTAAAAACATTAACAGACAAGGTTCAAGGATACGAACAAGAGTTGACGGAGCTAAAGAGGCAAAAGGTAACTGAAAATGGAGATAGGGCTCATGTTGAGAGTCATGTGGGGGAAGGCAGTTCCTCACATCCTGCCACTCTGAGAGATCATGAGTCTAGAAGGAAAGAAATTAGGCAGGAGGAACAGAGAGCCCCACCGACCATTACTGATGTGTGGGAAACTGTTAGGAAGTTTAACCCTCCTACGTTTGATGGTAACCTTAAACCATCCGTGGTAGAGGAATGGGTGAAGAGACTCGAATCCATCTTTCGAGTAGTCACATGCACCAGCAATCAAAAAGTACAAGTAGCATTAGTGCTCCTAGTGAAAGGAGCAAGAGATTGGTGGGAGACAGCAGGGCCCAGGGATGATTCTACACTCACCTGGGAGGAATTCAAGGAAAAATTATTCAGGCATTACTTTCCATCAGAGTTAAGGTCTGAGAAGGAAGCGGAATTCCATGCCTTTAAGCAAGGGAACCTCGATGAGGACACATTCATTGCTAAGTTTCAGGAGTTATCTAGATACTCCACGTACCTGCAGTATAGGGATGATTCCGAATGGAAGGCTAAGCGCTTATTGGAGAAGGCTAGACCAGAATTGAGGGAACAATTGGCTCATCTAGATATCCGAGATTATGATGAAATGTGCATAAAACTACAAGTAGTAGCTCGCAGTAAGAAGGAGGTTGAGAGAGAGAAGAGGGGTTATTCATATAGTAGACCCCCAACCTACCCTCGACCCACCGGAGGCATTATGAAGAAAAACCATCAGGGTTCGAGTAGCTCATGGAACCAAGGAAGGCAGAAGGGTCCATTTCAAAGGGGCCAAGGACAGAGGAGCTATCATAGTAGTTATTACGGGTCACAGAGGAGCCCAACAGTATCTACCCCTGCCCCGAGTACAGCGAGCTCTCAACAGTGCACTAAATGCGGGCGTCGTCATTTCGGACAGTGCTGGGTCTGTTACATTTGTGGGAAACCCGGTCACATTGCAAAGTTTTGTGGGGACAACCAGGGCTCAAATATGAAGAACCCTTCCCAACATCCTACTGTCTCTGGTCGTGTGTTTGCTCTTACTCAGGACACCATGAACTCCCCAGATGCCATTAGAGGTAACATCAAAATCCTTCATCATGATATTGTTGCACTATTTGATTCGGGTGCTACACACTCTTTTATTTCTGAAACTTGTGTAAAGAACCTTGATTTGCCTGTGTGTATTTTACCGTTTGATATGAATGTGTCTACTCCTGCGGGAGAATCTGTGAGGACCGCTAAGGCATGCCTTAACCTAGTAGTCGAGTTTAAAAATAGGAAAACAACTATGGACTTAATTATCCTACCACTGAGAGGTATGGATGTAATTGTGGGAATGAATTGGATGGCTGCAAATGGTGCTATCCTAGATTGTAGAGAGAGGAGTGTGTCTTTATCTTCTTTGTCGGTGACCCCAGTCGAGACTCAAGATCATGTTTTCTTGTCGGCGGCGCAAGTTGATAGATGTATGAAGAAGGGTTGCCAGGCCTACATGGTTTTCTTCTCTATCCAAGCTGAGATTGATGAAGGCGTGAAGAATATCCCAATTGTCAAAGAATTTGCGGATGTATTTCCAGACGAAGTCTCCGGTTTACCCCCAAAGCGCGAGGTAGAGTTCTCAATTGAATTGGTACCCGGTACAGGGCCAATTTCTAAGGCTCCTTATCGGATGTCCCCTTCAGAGTTAGCGAAACTGAAAAGCAAATCGAAGAGCTACTTGAGAAGGGTTTCATCAGACCGAGTGTTTCACCTTGGGGATCTCCAGTCCTTTTTGTAAAGAAGAAGGACGGAAGCCTCCGATTGTGCATTGATTATAGACAATTGAACAAAGTAACCATCAAGAACAAATATCCACTTCCGAGAATCGATGATTTGCTGGATCAGCTTGTGGGATCCGCAGTTTTCTCAAAGATTGACTTAAGGTCAGGGTACCACCAATTGAGAGTGAGAGCAGAGGATATACCTAAGACAGCATTTCGGACGAGATATGGGCATTATGAATTCATGGTGATGCCGTTTGGACTTACGAATGCTCCTGCGGTATTCATGGATTACATGAATAGGATCTTTCGACCCTATTTAGATAAGTTTGTAGTAGTGTTTATTGATGACATTCTTATTTATTCAAAGGATGAGGAGGCTCATGGTGAACATTTAAGAATCGTCTTGCAAGTTTTGAGGGAACATAAGCTTTATGCCAAATTAAGCAAGTGTGAATTTTGGCTCCAAGAAGTAAAGTTTTTGGGCCATGTTGTGTCCAGAGATGGAGTTGCGGTGGATCCTAGCAAGATTGATGCAGTGATGAAGTGGGAACAGCCAAAATCTGTTACAGAGATACGAAGCTTTTTAGGTCTAGCAGGTTATTATCGTCGCTTTATTAAGGGATTTTCGCAAATTGCGATGCCCTTAACTAAGCTAACTAAGAAGGATGCCCCATTTATTTGGACTGACAAATGTGAAGCTGCTTTCCAAGAATTGAAAAAGAGGTTAACCACTACTCCAGTATTGACTATTCCTGACCCTGTGGTGCCGTACACTCTGTACACTGATGCTTCTTTAAAGGGTTTAGGATGTGTTTTGATGCAAAATGACCGAGTGGTTGCCTATTCCTCCAGACAGTTGAGACCACACGAGGAAAATTACCCTACTCATGATTTGGAGTTAGCTGCAGTTGTGTTTGCTCTAAGATATGGAGACACTACTTGTATGGATCTAAGTTTCAAATCTTCAGTGACCATAAGAGCCTGAAGTATTTATTTGATCAAAAAGAGCTTAATATGAGGCAGCGACGATGGATGGAATTTCTAAAGGATTATGACTTTGAATTACATTACCATCCGGGTAAGGCTAACGTGGTAGCTGATGCCTTAAGTAGAAAGACTATTCATGCTGCACATTTGATGGTTCATGAATATCATTTATGGAACAGTTTTCATGATGTTCCAGTAGATGTGATTGAACATCAAATGGCCGCACTCCAGGTAGCAGACTTTGAGAGCAAATTCTGGGAAGATCTCAGAGTCTCACAGCAAAGTGATGACTACTTAAGGAATATAAGGAAGGAGATAGTGGTAGGTAAGGCCCCAAATTTTACCATCTCTGAGGACACAGTGATGAAGTATAAAGGTAGAGTTTGTGTACCTAATGATCCAAGATTGAGGAATATCCTTTTAGAAGAAGCTCATAGGAGCAAATATACAATTCATCCCGGTATAACTAAAATGTACCATGATTTGAAGCGAGGTTGGTGGTGGCCAGGAATGAAGAAAGATGTAACTGAATTTGTTTCTAGATGTTTAACGTGTCAGAAGATAAAGATAGAACATCAGAAGCCAGCTGGAACACTGCAACCGTTAGATATTCCAAAGTGGAAATGGGATGATATTTCTATGGATTTCATCACTGGACTGCCAAGAACACCCTCGAGTAAGGATGCTATTTGGGTGATAGTAGACCGACTCACCAAATCAGCTCACTTTTGGCGATCAAGTTTACCTCTACATTAGAGAAATTTGCTGAGATATACATTAAGGAGATAGTTAGACTTCATGGTATACCCTCTAGAATTGTGTCAGATCGTGACCCAAGGTTCACTTCAAACTTTTGGGGTGCGCTACAGAAGGCTATGGGTACCAGACTGAGTTTTAGCACCGCATACCACCCCCAAACAGATGGACAAACAGAGAGGACGATCCAGACTTTGGAGGACATGTTGAGAGCTTGTGCCATTGAACTACCAGGTAGTTGGGATAATCATTTGCCATTAGCTGAATTTGCTTATAATAACAGCTATCATTCTAGTATTGGGATGGCGCCTTATGAGGCCTTGTATGGAAGGAAGTGTAGATCGCCTTTATGTTGGACAGAATTAAGTGAGAGGAGTATCATTGGTCCAGAAATTGTAGAGCAACCACCCAGAAGATTGCAATGATTAAGCAAAAATTGCTAACCGCTCAGAGCCGACAGAAGAGCTATGCTGATAAGAGGAGACGGCCGTTAGAGTTTGAAGTAGGAGATCATGTATTTTTGAAGGTTTCTCCAGTGACAGGCATTGGTAGATCCATTAAGGCAAAGAAATTGACACCTAGATTTATGGGCCCGTATGAGATCTTGGAGCGAATTGGATCTACTGCATATAGAGTTGCATTACCTCCACAGATTGCAGGTATCCATAATGTGTTCCACGTATCACAGTTGAAGAAGTACAACCCGGATCCCTCCCATGTTATTGAACCTGAAGAAGTAGAATTGAGGGAGAATTTGACCTTTAGATCCGAACCGGAGCGAATTGAGGACTTTAAGGACAAACAACTACGCAATAAGACCATCCGACTCGTGAAGGTGATTTGGAAGGGTGGAGCCCTAGGTGATGCTACTTGGGAGACCGAGGAGAGTATGAGGCGAGATTATCCACATTTATTTGCTTAGGTACATAGTTTCTAAGCTTATCTATTAAATTTTGAGGACAAAATTTCTAAAAGGAGGGGAGAATTGTAACATCCTGATTTTTATATAATAAAGAAATTGTGGAATTTAGGTTTTGAGGAAAAAAATGATAATAATAGGAATTTATATTATTTGAGGTTATTTAGAAATAATATTATGATTAGGTATTTAATTATGAATTTAAAAATTTAAATTTAAAACCACATAAGCAATATTTAGTTAAGATATAATACATAAATAATTTTTTTTATGTGTGTGTTAAAAAAAAAAGAGAAGGTAGAAGGAACAAAAAAAAGGGGGGGTGGAAGGTTGTTGTTTCTAAGTCCCACATTGGTTAGATGAGGGAAGAGAAGAGGTGCCTTCATGTATAAAAAGGAGGGGGTGTGTGCATTAGGAAGCATGAGAGGCTAAGATGCAATTTAGAGAAAATTGCAACTTTGGGCCCAAAGGTTTGAATAATTAAATTCAAACCTATAGTTTTTTTTTAATATAATTTTGGGACTCACAATCCCATTTTTATATTATTTTTTCTCTCTTCCTCTCACGTTGCTCGGCGTTTTCTCACAAGGGGGGATTATTTTCTTTTTTCTTCAGGTATGTTCTAACTTTCCTGTTTAGATTAGCATTTAAAAATTTATTTAATTACAAAATTAATTTATAGTTATTTTCTAAATAATATTAGCTTTCTAGTGATATGATTATTTTGTAGGATAGAGTAAATATTTTGATTAGGATTTTTCTATAGGATAGTTAATCTGATGATATGATGGATTAAAAATATAGGTTAAAATTCTTAGGGATATAGTAAATATTATAGAATATTTTCTTGAGGTTGAAACTCATGTTTAAGAATTTTTGAGTTAAAATCTAGATCTATATGGTTGAATTTATGTGGAATCTGAGATGTAGGGATAAACCTATGATTATTAAATATTTATTTAAGTATGAATAGGTATTTTTGAGGTTATAGAAAGGTGATTTGAGGCTTCAGGATAATTCTAAAATTTTTAATTTATTTTTGGATGAATTTTTAGAATGTAGAAGGATGAAATTGTGATACTAGAAGTGAATTGAGGATAAAAAAAAATAGTTCATTAGGGTACGAGAATTTTAGAAAAGAATTTGGGAAGTTAAATAAGGCATAAATCTTAAATTAGTGTTAATATGGACTATAGATTTAAGACTTTCTAACTCTTTAAATTAGAGTTATTTATTTTAATGTAAAATTAATATATAGTATTGTGAAATAATTATGTAGATTATATTGACAAAGATAGTGGTGAAAAAGGAGTTGTGAAGGGGAACTTGTTATTCAAGACACAAGGTAACCATTATTAATGTGTTGTGATGAGTGTGTTTGTGAATGGTTATGTGTTGTTTTTGTTGTTTGGAAAAATTATGAATTATTGAAAATAAATACTGTATATACTTGTTTGAAATTATTGCCAAGTGGGTTAAAAATTTATTTTTGTTTATCATGATGAGATATTATTGTTCGGATATATTCCTGTTTGGATATTTGAATGATGCATGACTTGTCAGGGTATTTTAATGTATGGTGTTAATGGGAATTTCTGTTCGGTTAATTATTACCACGTGGTAAGCCCTCATTGGACCCAATGAGTGGCGTGTCGCTTGGTCCAACTCACCTTTGGCCGGGTGATTTGGCGTCCGAGCATGGGAAAGGAGGATATAAGGTGCAGTCATGCAATTAAATACTTGTTCGGTTTGTTTGAAAATATTGTTCGGTTAAATGTTTTGTGTGCCCACTTAGCAATCGCATGATTAGTTACATCCGCATGCATCATTACATATTAATTTTTGGTTACTGAGACTTTTAAGTCTCATTCCCCGTGGTTAATATTTTTACAGGAGCGAATCCGGCCGAGAAAGCACCAGAGGTGTAATTATGGTGTATGAGACACCATCTTTTACGTTGCCTCTTATTTTGGATTATACAATGTATCTTGTGCCAACTTAGGACATATCTTGTCTATGGAGCATGTAAACTCTAATCCTTTTTATTAAATGCATTTATATGTCCAAGAGGATTATGTCTGTCCCTTTTGATTCATGACCTAATTTAAATAACATGCTATGAGGATCATGTCTGTCCCTCATGGTTCTAATTGCTTTTTGAGATATTTTAAGACCTGTGGTATATTGTCTTGGATGTATCATGGTAGAAATTTTTCTACCATGATAAGGGTATGATAAGGGTTCAATGAAAAAAAAAATGATTTCTTGAATTAATAACTTGCGAAAAATCGGTTTGTAAATTGAGGGTGTACA